CACAGTGATCCACTCAAGCCCCAGCCTATCCCAGATTATGAGCAAGTGGATGCCCTGTATACTCAAGGAGGTCTCCCGACTTGAACTGGGAACTTCTCATGTGGGATTGCCTCATGGAATATCATGTTTTATCACTGTACCTGGACCTATATTTTTCATTTTATCTTTTAACTTCATATTTCCATGAACTCTTTGAAGTTCCCTGTATTTTATCTTAAAAAAAAAATAAGACCAGAGACATCCAGAGACATGACATATTTTTAAGGAGTGCCATTAAGAATATTGAGGGGCCAGCAGGTGGTGTGATGATTAAGGCACTGGATTCCCACATGGCTGACCACAGTTTGAGTTCCAGACCTAGATGCTTGCTTCCTCACTTTCCCTCTCTCTGTCTCTCTCTGGTGAGCACACATGCCCTATAGCAAACTTTAAAAAGTAATAATAATAACACAAAAAATATAAGAAACCAAGAAAATATCTCTCCTCTAAGGGAAAAGAATAACTCCTCTTCCTCCACAGAGAATACAAGGGAACTCATGAAAATGTCAGATAAAAAATTTATTATATTCATAGTGATAAAGCTAACAGAGATGCAAGAGAATAGAGGCAACAAACTCCAAAAGATGCAGGAGAAAAGAGACACCGAGTTCCAGGAGGTGAGGAAGTTCTTGCACAATCTGAAAAAGGAGATACATACCATAAAAAAGAATCAAATGGAATTGTCAGAGATGAAGGCTGTAATACAAGAAATTCAATACTTCCTTTGAAAATACCAAAAGCAGATTAGATCATGCAAAAGATAGAATCTCAGTTGTAAAAGATAGAACCTCTGACCTAGAAAAATTCACCAAAGAGACTGAGAAAATAACCCCCCAAAATGAGAATAACATATGAGTAATACTAGATTCCATTAAACACCCAAACAACCGGATCATTGGTATCCCAGCAGGTGAAGAAACTAATAAGAGTATTGATAATCTATTCCATAACATCCTGGGAAAAAACTTTTCAAACCTAGAGAGATACTTAAATATCCAGACCCAAGAAATACAAAGGACCCCACATAGAATCAACCCAAGAAGATCTTCCCCAAGGCACATCATAGCCAGATTGACCAAAACCACAGACAGAGACAAGATACTAAATTTGGCAAGAGAGAAACATCAAGTTACTTTCAAAAGCTATCCTATAAGACTAACGTTGGACCTCTCATTGGAAACAATGCAAGCAAGGAAAGAATGGGAAAATACATTCAAAGTGTTAAGTGAAAAACAGTTTCAACCAAGAATAGTATACCCAGCAAGATTACCTTTCATATGGGGAAAAAGAAAAGAAAAAAGTTCTCAAATAAACAAAAATTGAAAGAATTTACCAACACCAGATGTGCTCTCTAAGAAGTGCTGAAGGGAGTGCTATACCAGGAAAACTAAAGTCAGACACACAGAGATCAGAGTACAAGAAACAACCAAGAGGACCAGCAGTTAGCATAATGGCTATGTCGCTGGACTCCCATGTAGTCGACCGCGGTTCAAGTCCCGGACCCGGTGGCTTAAAACTCACGCCAAGCATGGGTGCGTGCGTGCCCAAAAACCCAAGAGGAGAATGGAAGAGAAGGGATTGCAGCATGGGTTACCCCCCAGGGGTTATTTCTCGCTTTCAGTCTCTCTGTCTGTCTGGTGAGCACAAAAAAAAGGAAACAACCAAGAGAATGACCAGTCTAATGGTAGGGGCAAGTCTGGAGTTGAATGTTAACTTCCAGAGTTTAAATGGAAAGATCAGACCACAGTAACACTGCAAATTCATTAGAAGAAAGATGAATTACATAAGTCCAAACTAGTGAAATAGAATAGACTAAAACATTACTGATTTTCTTTGATGCTTTGATTTCCATATTTAAGGATTTTTGTCTTCTCTTGAACTGTTGATAGGTTCATCTACCTACTATTGCATTGAACCCTAACCTTTTTCCTGGCTTTAAGTTTTAAGCAAATTTCTCTTAACACTTTTTGATTTTGATCTATTAAAACTAATTTTTTTGAAATTAAAAATGCATTAAAAATTCCTATTAATACCTATTTAATGACTGCAGAAAGCTATATAGCCCCAGCAAGGTGCTACTTTATAGTATGTTCACTTTACTCACTGAGGTTTACGCCTAAAGTCAGACATGCGTTCATAAATATGTATATATCAGCTGTGCTAGCTATTGAAAGTCTTTAAATTAATTAAAATCCTTAGTGAAGCAATAAAATGTGGGGGAGAAAAGGCATGGAAAACAACTGTACATACCATACAGTGGGGGAAAAGGGGAGGAATTGGCAGAGGGTGAGAGGTAGGGAATCAAGGGGGGAAAAAGCAAAATATATAAGAAACAAGAAATAGAAAATTATTTGTTGATGATAACATAACATGTATGGTTGTATCCTTGATTGAGGCAATATACAATGTATACTGGATGGAAAATCTCATTTTGTATACTGTATTGAGGTACAGTGAATGACTGTAAATAAATAGATAAATAATTTTTAAAGAAAAAAATAAAATAAATAAATATTAACAAAGAATAAATATATAGGATTTTCAAAACCAAGGATTAGAGAGAAAATGATAGGGCAGGAGGCCAAAGGTCATAGATACCTTTCACAGATTTCCAGAGCAAGGTTCAATAAAACCTGGATGAATGTAAATTATCTATGAATAGAAAAACAAATGCAGTCTCATATGTGAGTACCAAAACAAGTCAAAGTGGAAAATGCTCCAATTCGTAGGCCCAGGCTTAAGGTAGAGTTACAGCTCACCTGGGGAATCCTATGTGCTCCAGGGCTTCTCCTCACAAAATGTGCTTTATGTGTTTTGACAACTTGTGCTGTAAATGCAACCCAGTAAATAGTCCATAAATATTTGTTGGTTGGAGTTGATGTAAAAAGGGAACAACTGGACAGGACGTGACAGGACTTTGCCCCAGATGCCTGCCCTCTGCACATCATTCCCACCTTGCCTTGTTCTACCCATCTCCACTAACAGCAAGACCAGACCAACTGTCCCACACCTTTCTAGTATAAGCATTTCTACACCTCAGCCATTCCACAGCCTAGCACACACCCACTTCCTTCTAATTATCTACACACCCATTCCTTTCACTGGGATTAACCTAGAATTACATCTACAGAGGAAAAGAAAAAGGTTTCTACATGCAAGTGGCAAAAACAATGTCAACATAGAGGATATGTCTTACTCTGCAGTCAGTCCAGCTGAGCAGGCCAAAGATGCCCAGTGGGATGAGGAAACTCTGTAGTGACTGCACCTAACACCCTCTGCCTTCATATCCTGGGCCAAAGATGACATTGTGGAAATGAGATCAGAGTCATCATTGAAGGGCTAGAGATTGGCAAAGACAGTTTAATCCCTTTAAGCATGAAGCTGACTCTAGGAATCTTTCACAAAGCATTAAAATAAAAAGTATGTATTTGAGGGATGCTTGAAAATTGAATGAGAACACTTCAGGCAGTTTTCTGCCTCCAGGAAATACCACAGATATTTCTCCATCACCACTCATAAAAGTACACCATTTCAGTGACTTGGTGACTTACATACCAGGAAAAGGTTATAACCCATGAGCACATTCAATTATATTTAAAATATGAATCATGGTCTAACCCAGGTCTATGTGATTCTAGAACATAAATTCCTAAACTACTAGATATACTACCTTTGGTACATGCTTCACTCATTTCTTCTTTCAATAACATCTTTTTCTGAATAGAAAAATGAGAGTTTGGGCTAGCTCCATGATGCAGCAGCAATGCCTTGCTCAAGAGAAGCTGGATCCCACATGGCAACCACAGTTAGGATCCATGGCCTAGTCAGCCTAAAACATGCTGGGCACATGCACAAGTACCCAAGACCTAATGGACTGGACTGGAGGAAGGGGTTTATGGCATGACCAGACTCTGTGGAAGGTACCTCTATCTTTCTTTCTCTTCTGCATGCATGTGTACTCTATCATGAATTTTTAATAATAATAATAATAGTAAGCAAAATAAAGAAATACAAGTTCATTGTAGACATTTTTGGAAATTCAGAAAATCATAAAGAAACTGAAAATCATCCATAATCATACAATTCAGATATATACTGTTAAATTTTTGGCTCTAAAACCTTCTATTTTTTTTTTTCTTCAAGAGTATACATCTTTGAGATGATAAGTGGAAGCTACTGCTCATACCCCTAGTTTAGAAGTACCCAGACTGTCAGAGGAAGATAGTCTTCATTATCCACACAATTATCACGTGTCTTCATTTCATTGACAGTTTAATCGCTTAGGTTCAAATAACAGACAGAGTGATTTTCAGTTGCCTACTTATTTTCAACTTGTGGAAGTATTCGGTCCCATTTAGATAGCCAGATAGATAGATAAAAATATACAGAGAAATATCAAGAGACTTTGGAGGAATATACATCAAAATCTTGGCAATGGCTACCCCTAGGAGTCACAGAATCAGAGCTTCAACTTTTTATGCTATGTATTTTCTATAATGCATGCATGTATTACATGTATAATTTTCTAAACAGTTTAATTTTATATTTTCAATAGTAACATGAGCATGCACAAGAGAGAGGGAGAAAGAAGCACCCTCAACAGGGTCTCATCACACTGTGATCAATCCCCTTTACCTGGTCCTCCAACTCCTCAGGATTCCAGATGTCAACAGGCACACCCAGTATGTTCTTCAGACCAACTGGGGATCCAAACCCATGGTTGCAGTACAACTTCCAACCTTGCAGGGCACATGAGTTACCACTGCACCACCATGGCTGAGCAACATTTTCATTTTTAAAATTACACATTTTAGCTTGCAAAATTTCTCCTATTTGAGATATGTACTAGAAGCTTAAAGCATTCTTCTGGGGGGAGAAAAGGTTCTGTGGTCAAAAATTCTTCAAGTTATTTTTGGTTTCTAGGAGGGCTCCCTTCATTTCACAGCTAAATTATCACTCACGTTAAGCTGCAGCTCACTGTTCATCAGCAGACCTTCTAGGCTGTAGGAAGCTCATGGGCTTGGATTCAGTTTTCTGGAATCAGGATCTGGATTGTGAAGCAGGACAAACTTCTGAGAAATCAGGTCAAAGCGTTTTGGGCTGACAGTACTAGAGTGCTGGCTAGCCTTGTAGGGTATCCAAAGAGGAGTGAGGCCTCGGATGTATCCCCAGACATTGGAGCAGAGGGGTACAGTGTGCCTCAAAGGGCAGACCATGGTTCCCACATGAATCTCCAATGTAAAAAGTCAGAGTCCTGAGTACCCCCCCCCACCCTGCACCTCTGAACCCTAGATCCACTGAATCACAATCTCTGAGTATGGGGCCTAAGAACATGACATTTTTGTTATTTCTACATGAAGTATGAGAACTGCTTCTGTGGGTGACTAGACTCATTAAAACAGGGGACAAAGATAGAACAGGTGCAAGTTCTTTCTCCTCGTGGTTACCTGGGTGTTCAGTGTCGAATTAGTGTCTTGGCCATGGCCATGTGGTTTCATGGCACGAGGACAATTATGAGTCCAGTTTTGATTACTAGTACATTAATTCCATCTGCTTTCTTTCACTCTTCTTGTCATCTTTAAGGTCCCCTTGTGAACCACCAAAAGCCCTCTGGAATACTGCAGGATTAAAAAAAAAAAGTATAAGCAGCCACTCATCAAACACTCTGTCAGGGAGGTATGCAAAGTGCATCCATCATATCTCATTTAATCTTCAGAACAAACCTTGGATCAGGTATTATTATTAACCCCATTTAACAGATGTAGGAAATCAAGGCTTAGAGAAGTAACTTCCAGAGCCGGTGCTAGAACTTGGCTGTGTGTGACTCTAAGGCCTAGGCTCTTAAACAGATACTACTTGCCCTTGAGGTAGGTGAACAGACTTGGCCTCACTTTTCTCACAAAGGAGTGGCCCTTGGGGCAGCAGCCTGAATGGAAAACTAAGACTGAGGGCTTCCCTTGAAGTTTCTTTCACATAACCATCCCCCTGTTTTTACTATGATTTTATGTTACAAATCATCTATATTTTTAATTTTGAAAATGTTTTTAGGAACACATGAATAAAGTATTTGCGTCTTTCTTGGGCCTTATTTGTCTTATTTAATGTATGAGGGTAAGGATACATCTGTGGTGGCTCAGCCTCTGTAAATGAAGTACTGAAGCTATTTCATGTCATTTTGTACGAAGTTTTGTGTTCAGTATACTTTGGTGTTGGGCTCGGAGAAATAAATACACTTTACAGAAAGATCCCTCCTCCTCAGCGTGTGACATATTTTAAGACGGTTGTGCAAATCAAAAAAATCGAACTGTGCAGAGCCTCCCAGGGATACCCATTGTGAAAAGTGCACTTACACAGACACATACAAATCGTATCCCACAAACAACACACCACACAAGCTGTTTTCTTCACTTAGCAGAACATTCTGGATAGAGAACTTGAAGCCGGGAAAGCGAAGGCTGACGAGGCCTAGAGAGCTGGAGGTCCACGTCGCTCCAGCCGGCCTGGGACAAAAAGCGGGAGGGAGGAAGTGTGCGGCCGGGAAGCTCCGCTGCTCTCGCTCGGGTTTCCCATTTTACCCCAGCTGAGACTACGAGGAAAGTTGGCCCGGAAATCTGCGCCCGCCAGAAACCTAGCCCAGCCCCCGCCTCAGGAACTTCCCCGGCCGCGGGGCGGGAGTCCTGGCCTGGGATGGAGAAGTCGGCGGCGGGCGTGGGCTTCGGGTCGCCGCTTCGCGGCAGCGCCCTCTGATGGCGGCTCCGGGCACGGCCACATCTGACTGAGCGCTTGGTGCACCTGCGCGTTGTACTGTCTGTGTGCAGACCCCAGGGCGGATGGGGGACACTAACTCCGGTGCGCACCTTTGCTGCACAGCTCTTAGTAATTTAAATTCCCCCTTAGAGAAGTGTCTGTATTCCATAACCCTGTACATCTGCTCAGAGCTCCTAGAGCCACAGACTTGTGTGCAAATGAAATGGGAAAGTGGTCTGGGTGCCCCGTGTGCCTTGCCTGTGGTAGAGACAGTCTACGGGCTCCCTGTGGTAGTTCACGTTCTGCCCCGCTCTATGAACGAGTACCTTTGAGAACAGGATTTGTGTCTTATTAGTGGCACACACATTTTTATCATCTCCCACTCTGTTTGTATGAATGTGCAGGGTGGGGTGCTTAGAGGCACTGAGTCGTGGGTGGTAATAGTATGTTTCTAACATACAGGCGTTAAAGGTGTTAAGGCGGGGGCAGGTGCAGCACCTACACTAAACCCTTTGCCCTTCCTCTCATCCTCTTTGACTTCAGGAGAACTGTGGGCTTTGCTTTGGGGCCCTTGGCATACGGTTGCTTGATCCTGACATGAACTCAGCATCCTCTATGACCTCCTCTTGGCCTTCCTTCTTCCCCAGTCTGGGGAACCCAGGGAGGCTGCCTAGCGCTGTCTCTAAGCACCTTGGAAGTGATGTAAACCCAAAGAAATCAGCATCTCCATCTCCTTCCTTTTTCCCCACCCGAAAGTCATTTCCTCTTAGTTCATTACCTGGGATTTTGATGTCTATGTTCCCTCAGTGTTATTGATGCACAGAGAGAGGGGAGAAAAAGGAACTTCTTGAAATTCCCCCAGAAGGTTTTGAGAGTTGTTTTCAGTGTTGCAACTTAGAACAAGCCAGTTTCTACTTTGGGTTTCCATCAGAAAGCTTGGTAGGAGCAGGGTATATAAGCTCCAGTGGCAGCAACAGCAGCAGAAGGACAGCTGTTCCAAGCCCATCCGACCCTGCAGCCTGCCCAGGAGCAAGGTAAGCACTTCCCCAGCTGCTACCACCCCTTTCCATGGGTCTGCAGGCTGTCCAGGGTATGAGGGCTAGTGTGCTACCCCAGCACCTGACAGCGTCCAGTGGGTGGATTCCTAGAAGCTTCCCTGGTGACTTACTGTTGGGACACCTGTGAAAATGTAGTACCTTGGAGACTGATGTATAAAGTGTTGATAATTACCTATCAAAGTCTGTGAATGAATGCACATTTTTAGGAGGGTTTGTTTTGTCTTATTTTGAATGACATGTATATAAAAGTGTATTCCTGACTATGAATGTTTATCTGTTAAAGAATTGGGCAGAGTTAAAGTCAAGGGGACTTGCCTTAGGTCAGAAAACTTTCCAAAAGCGTTTCATGCAGTCCTCAAAGTGACTGGAGTCATACTCGTACTTCATAACTGCATATTACAGACGATACTTGTCCCCTATTTGTGATGGGCTGGTGATAGCAACTAAATTGATATGCCGGTTCTCCAGCGATTTTGAATTAACTAATTTTGGCCCCACTTTAGAAACGGAAAAGCAATGGTAATGTTTAAAACTATTTCTCGAAGAGTTTTACATCTTGAGAGCTGGGGGGAGGAGGAAATCATCTTTACTATATCAGTGTCTCATACTTGCCCAGGAAAAATTGTGTGCAACAATGCAATCAATTACATGCCATTTTAACAAAGCAATTATTAAACCCCAGTAAATGGTCCACTTTTTTCAATCACAAAAGCTTAAGATATTAGATGGAATTTGGGTAACCTTTTAGAATTCATTTTACTTGGATCCGAAATGGTATGGGTTTTGTATATTTATTCGTTCTACTAATAATCCATGAGATTCTCTCCATGCTAGACTCTGGAGATAAAATGTGTAACAAGACAGACATGATCACTGCCATCAGAGATCAGTGTGGTGAAGAAGACAAACTGGAAAGAAAGAGCTGTATTATTTCCATTGTAGTCAGTGCTAGGCAGGAGAACAGAGTCAGGGGTCCTGACTTCATCTGGACACCATGCTGGGTATTTTGCATGAATTTCTTTACTAACTCCTCACCACAACAGGGTGCCCATTGTACAGATAAAGAGGGGGGGGAGGGGGAGGGCGGGGGTTGGCTTTCTGACAGTGTAATTTGCTGTTCAAGAAAGGCCAGATCCACATGGTGACTGAGGTTCAGGTCCTGCCTGGCCAGCCTGAAACATGCCAGGCATATGAGTGAGTGGCCAAGAAACAGTGAGCTGGAGGACTGGAGGAAAGAGAAAACAGCATAGAAGATGTAAATCTTTCTCTCTCTCTCTCACACACACACACACACACACACACACACTTTTATGTGCACACACATACCCTATCATGATCAAGAAAATTTTCAAAAAGATGGGAGGCTTAAAGAGGTCAAGGGACTTGCCCTCGGTAACACAACTAGTGGCAGCTGGGATGGCAGTTCTGGAGGTCTGCCTGGTGTCCTTTGCATTGTGCCACCATACCATCTAACATGTCTTTTTATTTTTAAATAATTCTCTTTTTAAAAAGTAACAAAATAAAGCTAGAAAACAAGATGCCTACCCAAGTGTCATTGGCATTCCATGCTGGCACCAGTGTTAGGGAGTCTTAGCATGCCCTGGAAAGTAGGAGTGCTTGATCAGGGGGACCTTCATTCCTCATACAAGGGTTTCAAGGATTTAGAAAACCTATGGAAATGACATGAAAAAAATTATTTTACTATTAAGACTCTCAAATTTACCATGGGAGGAAATGTAGGCTGAGGATACTGATCTCTAGTAGAGGCTGACTAGTCAGAGAGCTAAAAGATTACCATGTAATGCCCCCTTTTCTGGTTCTCTGAGTCCAGCAGATTGCATAATGGTTACATTGCTGGACTCCCACATAGTCAGCTGCAGTTCAAGTCCCAGACCCGGTGGCTTAAAACTCACACCAGATACATGTGCATGCACTGGCAAACATCCCAAGAGGAGAATGGAGGAGAATGGATTGTGGTGTGGCCATGCCCCTCGAGAGGTGAATTCTTGCTTTCTATCTCTCTGTCTCTCCGGCGAGGGCACATACACACCTTTTAGTAAAGGAAAAAAAAAACAAAAAAACTCTTAAAAAAAAAAAAAAAAAAAGAGCAAGGCCCACCATCTCCACCCTTCCCAGTGTTCCATGGTTTGAAATGTAGGTGATACTAAAATGGAAGTTGTTTCTTAGAACCACCCCTAGGGCTCCCTTGACCCTGAAGTGCAGTTCACCTGGAATTCTCAAATACATCTGAGGCCCAAAGAGGAAGTTCTAGGCACATAGCCAAAGGGAAAATCCCAGCATGAAGAGAGTATAAAGGAATCACCAGGAGATGCCAGGAATCTCTATTGTTTCCATACCCAGAGTGCTGACATCTGAGTTTTACAGATCCATGTAATTGTAGTACCTCTGTGGGCATTTCCCTTCAGCTGGCATGACTTTTTTTGGCTATCCATCATATACAAAGCAGAGAGATATCAAAACGTTCCCTTATCTCTTCTTCTAGGTATAAGCGAATGTGCTATTGGTTGCTTTCTATAATACGTCATTTCATTGCATCTCTCCACAACTCTTTGAGATAAGCATTATGTCTATTTTATTAATGAGGAGACTGAGTCTCAGAGAGTAACTTTGTCAACATTACACAACTAGTGAGTGGTAGAACCAGAATGCAAACCCACGTCTGCTTGACTCCAAGCCTATGAATGTACTGACCAATGCTCTGTGCCAACTAGTACTTTGCTGCAATCATAATTGGACTGAACCAATAACCATGTTTCCAGGAATCCATGCTGTGATGACAAGACACTGAGCCATGCTCAAGAAGACCTAACTTCTAGTCCTATGTCTGCCACTCATGAGCTCTATAATATAAAAGAGTAAAGTACATTACATGGCAGAGCTCCCCTAGGGTTAGCAGCAGTTCTGACAAAGCTATGATATGTCAATACTCAGTCACCCCTACAAAGGGACGCCCATATTTAAGGTATTTAGCTGAACCATTTGGGCCTTGTTCTTCATATGATTTAGACCAGTGGTTTCTGATAGCATGTTCCTGCAAACACTGGTCCTTTCCAAGATGGATGGAGGCGTTTCAGAATGAAATGAAACCATGATCAAATATTTCTACCTAAGTCTTTAGTGGTGTGTTATTTTTGTAGTTTGAAGATTTTCATTAACCCTAAGAGATTGCTCTTGACTATGCATACAAATGTATGCATTTCATAATTTCATAGTATATATGTTGGTATTTTATGGTCTTCTGCCAAAGAAAACCTTGATTTTCAAGGCTTATGGGCCCTGAACATGAGTTAAACGAGTGGTTTTCAAAGTGTGGTCCCTAGAGCAGCAACAGCAGTTTCATCTGGAAACATTTTAGAAATCCAGATTTTTAGACCTCACCCCCATATCAGCTCTATCCATCCTCTCTGGTGAGACCCAGTAGTCTATCTTAGTAAGGTTCCCAGGATTTTCTGACCTAAGTTGAATTTTGAGGGCCATTGCATTACATCGTGTAGGAGAGAGTAACTTGAGCTTGGAGCAACTGCTACTCTAACAAGAGAAACTAAGCCTCTACAACAAGAGCTGGTGACTAGGTGACTGTCAGAAGTTGAACTTTACCTCTTTATGGCTTTTCCATCTCTAACCCAGTGCTTTACCTCTGGATGTCCCAGCACATACTGCTTTGTGCTACGGTGGTACAGATGTGAAGCTTATCTCCCCAACAGGAGGGAAGGCATTTAACACACTTAGGAAATATTTGTTGAGTGAAAGTATTTGCTCTTAAAAAGCAGGATCCAGATAAAAACATTTTTCCATTCCCAACTGCTCCTACCTCAATGCTTTTTGCATAATAAGCTCTGAATAAATAACTGCTGAATATTGATCCAGATAAATTATGTTTTTTTCTCTCAGCTTTGGGTACTTATCCTAAAAATAAGAGGATTGTATCATATGTCTAGCCTTAGGTCTCTTTCAGTTCCAGATATCCTATGGTTCTCTGGGGATGTTCACACCCAGAGACGAGCACAGAGATTCTTTAACTCACCAAGGATTAGCCTGACAAAGTGAAGAAGAAAGGGGGAAATCAAAATAAAAAACAATGGACATAGAATGTGTCCATGGTTCCCAAAGGTTACTGAATAATTGTTGACATGATCTCTTTTCTTCCCTTCCCCTTTTTTCTCTTTTCCTCCTTCTCTCCTTGTTTCTCCCCCTGCACTCCTCTACAGATGTGTCAACGGCAGTTTGTCATCTCCTGGTTTTCCATGGTTTTGCTGGCATCTCCCCTCATGGCTATGTGGGAACTGGAGAAAGATGGTAACTAGCATCTCTTTATTCTTTACGGAGGCCCTAGATTCCAAGCCAGTACCCTCAGGCAGCCAGTGTTGGGAAGGCAGACTGAAGTTGGTCACCGGGCATTACACTTTACTTGGGGGAAATGTAAAGCTATGTTTCCATCTATCATTTTGAGGCTATCTGTATTGTTTGATTTTCACGCTGGATTCCAAAAAAAGAATTTTTTATTTTATTTATTTATTTATTTATTTTGTGGACTGTGGTGAGAAAGTGATGGTTTTCACCAGTGTTACTAAAATCTAGCTGTTTTGTATGATTAAATTTCCCATGGGAATTTTGGATTTGAAAAGTCTAAGAACCATGATCCATCATCTCCCACTCCACCATATGATATTGCCCCTTTTGCTGGCACTGTGATAACTCACCTCTGACCACACACTGTATAGAAAACATACGATTTTGACTCACATTGACTTGGGTTCAAGTCCTGGTCCTGCCAACTATTGGTTATGTGACCTTGAACTGGGTCACCTTCTCTGCACATGAGTTTCCTCCACTGTGCGCTACTTGGTATTTCAAAGTGACACCTATCACATGAGTTATCTATGAAGACAGTGGACAACTCAAAAGATGGTAAGATAAAAGTAAATGCTAGCTAATATTACCGTTGTAGATGTTTAAAAGAATGTCTCTGATGATTCAACAGAAACTTTTATTACCCCAATGATCAATTAAAAAATTATTAGTAGACTAATAGGATCGATGCTAATAGAATAAGTGTCCTGTTATTCTGGTATCTCACACTGAGTAAATATGTATTAACTGATGGTTGGTTGTACCTCAAAGAGCCTCAGATTTTCTCATTAAAGCCAATGTTATAACATTGGTAATTACTGTCTTTAATAATGCTTCATGTTTATTTAGTACAGTGTCTCATTTAATTATTACAACAATCATGGAAGTAAGTACCATCTGTACCCTATCTACATACGCTGAAAATTGAGGCTGGAGAGATTAAGTAACTTGCTCAATATTCCATACCTGGCGAGGGTGGACCAGGAACTTGGTCACAATTTAGTCTCACTTCAAAGCTTGTGCACTTAAGTACCTGAAATGTTTACAAGAAGGACATGAAGCAATTGTTTCCTGTGTCCTCAGGGAGCTGACAAGAGGAACCAATCATATATTAATGATAAAAAGATTTCAGCTAATGGTCAGGAATAATCTTTTGATATTCAGGAGAGTACAACACTGAAACAGGTGCCTGAGAGATATTTAGGACCATTCCACCATTCTTAAGAATTTCAGGAAGACAGCAGTCTAACCACCCTATCTCCATGGAGTCTGAGAGTTTTAGACCCTCCCTAAAGTAAGGATAAAAGCCTGAGCCAAATGATTATGGCAGATCCCTTTCAACTCTGGGATTTTTAGTGAACTCAGGAATCATAGTCCTTGAATATTTAACCCCTTAACTACTTCTGATTTGGTAAACCACAGAAATTCCAGAGAGTCAATGTGAGAAATACTGAGGGAGCTTGTGACTGGAAAACAAGATGAGGAAATAAAGCCAAGCACTAGCTTCTAGCTGCTCTACCTCAGCTTTCTTTTGCAGTTGCTTTCCTTGCCCTTGGACAAAACTCTTCTAGGGCTTCTGAGTCTTAGTTGTGAAGGGACATAATCATGCCATTCAGTTGTTTTGGGCACAGAGAATAACTAGAGTAATCCAAAGGTGCCACATGGTTTTTGTGTCAGCACAGCTATATCATTTCTAAAAAATTGGGTTCCAAATGTTTTTTTACCTCTTATCTTTGTTACCCATTTGGTAGTTATAAATCCCACTGACATTAAGTAAAAACTTGATATTCCTCAGGTTTTACCCTTGGATGCCAATAATAAGAACCCCTACTTATAGGGCATTTAAGGGCACAGTGTTAAGTTTTTATATGAAGTAGGTTATATAGGTCATCAGGAAAGTCGTGATTTATTTTCTATGTTTTCCTGTGCAAAAATGCATCATGACTTTCCCAACAATGTAATATAATCCACATGTTAACCTTCTAAAGTAAATACTAATATTTTTCTCATTTTAAAAATGATGACACCAGTTCTGAGTAGTTGAATGTCTTACCCAAGGTCATAAGACTAGTGTGAAGGTTAGAGTTGAAAATCCAAACCTATAGCAGTCTAAAATCCAGGCTCCTAACTCTTGTGGTTCTCAAATTTGAGCAGGCATCAGAATCATCTGGAAAGCTTTAAAAAAAAATACCACCGGACCCAGCCCAGTGTTTCTGATTCAGCAACTGAGAATTTGTATTTCTAACAAATTTCCAAATGATACCACTGATGGTGGTAGAATGATCATGCTTTGAGAGCCATTGCACTAAACTATTCTACTCAATTAACAATCAGGCATAGATGAATGAATCTCTGATGTGACATATTCTTTGAGATACTGTACTAAGCCATTCTTCAAGAGCCAATTTAGATACCGGTATTAGATAGATACCCATTACAAAACTTAGAGACCGAAGGTCTGTGTTATAGCTCTTATACTCCTAACTTAGTGAAGTTGCTTAGCCCCTTGACTTCAGTACCCTCCTCTATAAATGGGGAGACTGAGAGCTACTGGACTGCCTTATCGAATTGTAAGATAGCTTAAAAAAAAAAAAAAGACAATAAACTCTCCATTGGTGAGTTTTATACATAAGAAACTAAATTCTTAAATCCCCATGGAAAATTATAAGAGTTTCATAGTGCAGCTGTCTGATTCTTTGGTCTGTGAATAACAGAACTAACAGAGTTTACCATGTGGCAGACACTGCATTAATTACTTTACATGCTTTCTTCATTTAATCCTCACAGCTGAACCTATAATGTCCATATTATTATTATCATTTCTAGATGAGGAAACTGAGGCTCATAGTAATTAATTACCTGGTTCCAAATTACCTAACTGGGAAGCAAGCCAGACTATGAAAAAGAGGCATTGTGTGTCGCCACTCAATATATACCTATTGTCTGCACTCTTTAACAGAAACTAAAAGATTGGAAGGAATGAAACTATGAAGAGCAACCATGGATACCAAAGACAGTGTGGGAGGAGGATGCGGAATGTGGGGAGGTGGAAGGGAGGAAATCAAGGGAAAAAAAGGAAAACAAACATTTAAGGATACAAAAATGAAAAAATTACCTGTTGATGATAATGTGTATGGTAATATCTTTGACTGGACTAACATACAGTGTATCCATATTGGGAAAAAAAAATTAAATAAATAAATTAATTAACAAATCCCCTAGCTGGTTAGTGGAAATGGGATCTCTATCCTGCACAGTCTTTCTCAACACCCTGTATTTTTAAACACTATATACTGTATCTGTCTTTTTCCTGTGAAGTTGAAACTGTGCTGGAAGTGTATCTTTACCAGATCTTTGTCAAACTCTTGTGCTGTTTGCATTTTCTAGTGTATCAAGGTCTTCCTCATCTGCCAGCTAATCTGAAGTTAATTTTTAAAGGCAGCCTGTCAGTTAATGAGCCCATGACAGCTATAAAACTTGCTTCTCTGTTCTATGACCTTGAGCTCAAGAGGGTGCCCAATGCCCTGAGATCACGTCGGCAAGTATTTGCCAAACATTCGTTATGCGCAAGGTTGTGCTTAGGCAGTGGGCTGCTCAGAAGGGAGCAAAAGACAGTCTTGGAGGTCACAAAGCTTACAGCCTGTTCTCTGCTCCCGGTGCTCTCCAGTGTATGTTGTGGAGTTGGATTGGCATCCTGACGCTCCTGGAGAAGAGGTGGTCCTCACCTGTGACACTCCTGAGGAAGATGACATCACCTGGACCTCAGACCAGAGCAGTGAAATAGTAGGATCTGGCAAAACCCTGACCATCCAAGTCAAAGAGTTTGGAGATGCAGGCCGGTACACCTGTCTCAAAGGAGGCCAAGTACTGAGCCATTCGCTCCTGCTACTTCACAAAAAAGAAGATGGACTTTGGTCCACTGATATTTTAAGGGACCAGAAAGGTAATTCTCTTCCCTTGGATAATGTGAATTTTCTCTTTTACTTCATAAGAGATAGAAAAATTAAAAATTGAAAAGGCAAGACATGATCAGTATAGTTAATGAAATAATATCAATCCCTACTGAAACCACCCAGAACCTCTGTTTTTCTTTGCTTTCCTAGACCCTTTGGGTTACCAACATCAAAATTTTATATAGAGAAAGTTTCATGGTCAGTCTGAATGCTTGTCTGGGGGTTTTCTTTAAATAACCTTGAAGGTATTATTGAAGTGATACAAGGTGATACTATTGGATGGCGAATGGAAACTAACCAATGTGTACTGTGCATTAACCAATGTATGCAGGGCATAATAGCACTAAGGTGATAGCCTTGAAAAAGTAGTACCTGGGTCTGATGTGCTAGGTGTGTAATACACTCTGCAAATTGAGCATCACATTGAAACTCTCCCAGTCCTCACTGAACTATCTGTCAGGAGAACAGCAGCATTTCCCAAGGAAATAAATGGAAGAGCGTCACCCTTAGACCATCTGGTGGCCTGTGATTAATTATAGTCAAAATCTTTCTGAAAGAAAGTCCCTAAATATTGAATTTTTGTTCTTTTCCAATCCAGAACCCAAAAATAAGACCTTTCTAAAATGCGAGGCAAAAAATTATTCTGGACATTTCACCTGCTGGTGGCTGACAGCAATCAGTACTGACTTGAAATTCACTGTCAAAAGCAGCAGAGGGTAAGTGAAATCACTCTGGTTTCCCAGCATTCGACTGGAACTATTTCATTAAGAAAATAAGGGTTACCTACTGGTGACACATCAATTCATGATATGGGAAAAACAAAACCAAACCTGCATTTTTCAACCTCCCCCCACCTATTGCATAAATTGGAGAAAGAACATGGAGACTTAAACCAATCCTCTGAATAAATATGTGTGTTAGAACAGGATATTAATGGGACCAGAAAACGGTTTCTGCTGTGTTCGAACCCATTCATCCAAATTGTCCACAATGCTTCGTTAAGGCTCACAGCACCATGGAGAGAGATAAAAGGAGAAATCAAAGCTATAAATGACTTGCCAAAATTAAACCTTGAGTCAAAAATAGAAATAAGAGCTCTAGGACATAAATTTTGGAAGCCTGAAATAGACTCCTAAACTCTGTGAGGCCCCTGGAAATTTTTCCACGGTTACCTTAACTCCTCTTGCTGACACCAATAATCTGAAGTTGACTGTTTGAGCAACACACTTGGCCAGTCCCTGAGAAACCAGTTTCCACAGATGTAGGTAGGCTGTGCGTGACTTAAGCTATTCATCATCAAAGTTCCTGAGCAATGCAGGACAATGGAGCCCATCCTAGGTGATCACACTGGCTTTGTCTCTATTTACCTGAGTAAATGAAGCATTGGGTTCTCACTTTTCCATCTTCCTTTTTTTTTTGGTCAGAGGGCACATATGCTTACCAGAGAGAGGGAGAAAGCACGCTTCAGCCTCTAGGAGAGGAACATGGTCACTCCACAACCCCTTCATTTCTCTACCCAGTCAGGATTTTAGGTATACATACACACATGCCCAGTGTGTTTCTCAACCCACCAGGTCCAGGATTTGAACCACACCCTTGGCCATGTAGGATTCTGGCTCACTCAATCACCAGGCCATGGGCTGGCCCTCACATTCCTGTCTTTAAAATGAAAACACTAACTAAAGAAATGCACACACAAGTGTACCAAGACCTAAGTGCAGATGTTGTTTGCGATGTCTTTGGTAATCAGCAGAGGAAGGATTCAATGAAGTTTGATACATTATCCTCAGGCTTTATGAGCATTCACTGAGCTGAATAACCCAATCTATATGGTCTGTCATGGAGAGCTCCTATAATATGTTCAGAGGAGGAAAAGATGGTTACAAAACCATATATATATATATATATTATATATCTTGATCCTATTTCATATAAAATAAAATCTATGTGTATACATATGGATTAAAATCTATATGTATGGGGACCAGGAAATGGCATAATGGCTACGTCACTGGACTCCCTTGTAGTCGACCATGGTTCAAGTCCCAGACCTGGTGGCTTAAACTCACACCAGACACATGTGTGCGCATGCTCAAGACCCTGCGAGGAGAATGGAAGAGAAGGGATTGTGGTGTGGCCATCCCCCTGGGGGGTGATTTCTTACTTTCTGTCTCTCTGTCTCTCTCTGTCTTTCTGGTGAGTGCATGCACCCTATAGTAAAAAACTCTCAAAAAAAATCTATATGTATGTATGTATCATCTAGATACCCTGAATATTCAGTGAAAAAGGTCTGAAAGGATACAAGGATACAAGCGAGAAATAGCATTTATAACTGCAGAGTGAAGTTAGGGTTAACAGGACAGAAGGAAGCACACACACATATTTCTTGATGCTCATCTTTTATCATTTTAAATTCTTCTCATTAGTATGTATTGGATCAGTGGAACAGTCATGACATAGTTTTGCATAGAAAAATACATCATGACTTTTCTGATGACCCAATATTTTGTCATTCAAATAGAAAGAATGAACTTAAATTTTTATAAGGGGATTGCATCAGGGACCCTGGAATCTAAAAATAAATAAATAAATACATAAATAAACAAACAAACTAATAATCCATGTTCACTTAGGCCAGAAGTATGTAAGTGTAGGTTTCTAAACATTTGTACTGTCTCTTAAAGCTAAGCCTATTCTCCTAGGAGGAGCAGTTTCTTACCCCTGCAGTGAAATTAACCAACTGGAGAAATAGTGTCCTTATACAGACAGCTTCCTCAATGACTCCAGTTCCAAGAGCTGGGTCACTACGGTATAACAAGGGTCGTTTCTGTCTTTGACTTCAGCTCCTCAGACCCCCAGGGTGTGACATGTGGAGCAGCAACCCTCTCTGCAGAGAAAGTCAGAGTGGAAAACAGGGAATATAAGAAGTACTCTGTGGAGTGTCAGGAAGACAGTGCCTGCCCAGCCGCTGAGGAGAGCCTGCCCATTGAAGTCGTGCTAGACGCCATACACCGGCTCAAATATGAAAACTACACCAGCAGCTTCTTCATCAGGGACATCAGTGAGTTTCAGATCATTGTATGTGCTGTGTAAGGAAAAGTGCTGTTTGCCACGTGTTCCCAATGTTCCCTGCATTCTCTCTTTTATTTTGCACCCCGCAAGAGTACAGTGTAGATCTATTGTCAGCTTTTTAAGGAGGAAAGAATTGAGTTGTGGAAAGGTTAAGCAATTTGCCCAGTTCTAAGATCACACATCAGACAATCCAGATTCAGATTCACCCCATTAGAAAAAGCAGGCTCTTGGGACCAGCCGTTAGCGTAATGGCTATGTCACTGGACTCCCATGTAGTCGTCCACAGTTCATGTCCTGGACTCGGTGGCTTAAAACTCACGCCAGGTGCGTGTGCGTGCATGCCCAAGATCCCGAGAGGAGAATGGAGGAGAAGGGATTGTGGCGTGGCCATCCCCTCTAGGGAGTGATTTCTCGCTTTCTATCTCTCTGTCTCTCTCTGTCTTTCTGGCAAGCGCATGCGCCCTATAGCAAAAACCTCTCCAAAAAAAAGAAAAAAAGAAAGAAAAAGCAGGCTCTTTGCTCTATTTCTATTGTGTTCAGGTAGCTTCAATGGTGTATCTAAGAGTCCTTCGAGCATAATATTCACATTCAGAACCAGGGCTTCCCGGCTAATTGCAATTACTCACTATCATTTTATAGCATTTGAAAAGAGATTTCTTTACACACACGTGCACGCACACACACACACACACACACA